TTTGCGATGATCGCCATTGACACAGACGGCGACCTTAGCATTGTGTAAAATATCATAAACACGTCCGATGTGCAGTCGCTCACACCGATGTCTCTCATAACAAGGTGGCCCGGGATAATCGTTTCGTCTAGCCCTAATTCCCCGTATCGGAAGTCGATAGCCTGGTACTCATATCTCTCTTTCTTCTTTCGTTGAACTGGCGCTCCTGACTCATAAATGCATAACGCATGATAAGTACCACGTTTGGATGGCGACTGGCGCCAAAGTCATCAGTATACAGCCGACCTACAATCGTGGTCCCAGTCTCGCTTACTATTACTCAGAAGCGAGGACTCAGATATCGCGTTTAGCCTTTTTGTGTGCTTTCGGGGCGAAGGGGAGAACAGGGCACATCCCTCGAGTGATAGTAAACCAGGCCTCAATACCGGAAACCTGAAGGGCGAAGCGCCCAAGAGTGAGCAAGAAGACCGACTGAAAGTATCCCACAACTGCTGGCATAGCAAGGCAAATACTTGCCTTGGAATCTGTATGAAAATCGGGGCGCTCCCGGGGAGACCGAATGCAACATCTTTCGTGTCCAAGGGGATGGTAGGGAGCCCTACTGCGCATCAGAGGTTACAACAACAAACAACTGAATCAGTGATCATGGCATCCGGAGAACATATCCTGTGGATACGGTACCGATAATGTCATCTTTCTCGAAGTCAATGGCTGGACCAAACACCTTGGAAACGCTGTAAGTCGGGAGCCAGCCCAACTATTCGATACACGTGGTTCAGTAGCCTTGTTTCACCTAGGATCCTACTACGCAACCCTCCACCCTCCCTGACATATACTAGCGCCGACAGGAAAAACGACTTGTCCTACCAAATACTGCCTGACTTGCCCGAAGATCTCAGGAAGGAGAGGCGTTGAGGGAATCTTCATTGACCTCTGATTCTTGTAGCCTTCTGGGGTGGAACTGTGAAGGCAGTTGCTACTAGTAACCAACATTGAAGTTTGCGTTTATGAACAAAGCCTTCGTCTGCCGAGATTAACATATAATAAGTGAATTTTGGATATCGAAAGGAAAGATAGTAGTTTCTAAGCAATCCAGAGTCCTCGAAACCCCATTATTTATAGTCGAACCAAAACCCGTGTCCTCATCCAACGACACCCGAGTCCCAAACAATTACTTTCCTAGAATTAAAAAGTCCAGATCTGGTTTGTATTCCCCTCCGTACACTCCCAAGTCTGCATTCCCATTCCACGGTCAAGGAATCCACCCGTGAGATCCAGACACTGATTGTTTGGGCTATTGGCGGTTCTAAACCTATTGCCTTCAACAATCCATCCGGTGACGGGGGTGCTGCATGTGTCTGAGCAGCACTGGGCTACGCGAAGCAAAGCACCGTTGTATGCTAGTTGGGGATCAAGGCGAGTTCGTGAGCAGAAAGGATTAGGAGAAAACAAAGAGGCGTACAACCGGTTGGCAAGTCACCGTGTCCGAAGGGTGTATGCCAGCTCCTGAGGCACAAGTCTGGTGCACCGACGGATTGAACCTCGGTCTCGCCCTCGGTGAAGTTCCAGAGGGTGAACGCGGACTCGGCGCATGGGTAGCTACATGGATGTTTGGGCTAAGTGAACAGATGATTGGTTTGGGTGGGTTATCACTCACATCACGGCACCGGTATTGGAAGGAGGAGTGGGTACTCCACCGTCGTAAGGGACAATACACCAATCGGTGTTGCCGTTCTGGAAGGGAGTATAAGTTCAATCCGAGTAGCAAATCAGGGAACTTACAGGATGAAGAGGACGTCCTCCAGCCTGACGAGCGCCAACAGTCACAGTCATAGCTGAGGCAGCAGTAGCACAGGACACAGCAAGGGCGACGAGGGAAGAGAAGTGCATCTTCAGCTAGCGATGAGAGAGATCGAGGTTGGGAGTGATTAGCTCTGACTCTCCAACTCACCTTTTTATACGTTGAAAGCTTGGTTCCTTAAGATCATGTGTGACGGTCTTAAATCCCCGATGTTGCGGGGGTGGTAGGGACGGCGCGGGTTTGGCGGGCAGGGTAGGCGTACGAAACTCCCCATCTTGCCGTTTCTGAATTGCTATACTGCTTCGAGATGATCGACACATAGCACCCGAGTGAATGATCAGAAAAGTCAAAAAGGTACCTCGTGTATAAGGTTTATTTATGATGTCCAATTCTAAAGTGGTTGGCATGATCAAACGCGTTGAAGGGCCCACTTCAAATATTGGTAAAGTGACCTCATTGAAGCTAGTACTCTTCGGTGCACAGTCCCTTGCTTCTCCTTAGACCTCTCTCAAGAACCCATAGCGACGGGGAAACAACTCTGTTTGACATTACCCGGCATACCCCAAAAAGAAAGCGTCGAAGTAACTCTCATTAACCAAGGGTCGGTTTTCCCACGCCGGAGATGCGAGCAAAGTGGCCTTTTCGAGAGTCGAGTTTCACGACTCAAGCTCGAGCCTGGGTGTGTGAGGTCGCCCCTTGCCGGCCTTCTGATCCTTGCTCAAGAAAACTTAGCACTACTGGCTACCGTTTGTTCACGGTCCCCGAGGTGTGAACAAAGTCTTCGGCTCACGAGATGAATAACTTTAAAAGTGTATTCAACAAGATCAAAGCTAGCAAACGATCGATTGAGAGTCCTCAAAACGCCTGCCACCTATAACCAAACCAAAATCTGCGTCTTCATCCACCTACAGTACACCCGAATCTAGCTTTCTAACGATCAAAAAGTCCAGACCTGATTCGTATTCCCCTCAGTACACTCCCAAGTCTGCAGCACCTTCCTGGGCTCAGGAACCCCATCCGGGAGATCCAAACACTGATTACTCGTGCTATCGGCGACTCTGAACCTATTGCCCTCCACGACCCACCGGGTAACGGGAGTGAGACCTGCGACTTCACCGCACCCGCCTACGCGGAGGGTAGCACCGTTATATGCTAGGGAAATGGTGGAGGTTGGGGAAGGGGGAAAAATGTAAGAGAACGGAGGAACGTACATCCGAACGGCTGAGGGTCACCATGACCCCAAATTGTATGCAAACTCTTCAGGCACAAATCTGGTGCACCGACGGATTGGACCTCGGTTTCTCCCTCGGTGAAGTTCCAGAGGGTGAAATCGGATTCGGCACATGGGTAGCTGAATTGTGGGTCAGTTCCAGCAGGAAGTGAAGAAGATAATTATTATGGGACACTCACATCGCCGCGTGAACGTCGTGGGAGGGAGTCATTCCTTGGTCGGTGTCGGGGACGATGCACCAGTCGGTGTTGCCGTTCTGGGAAGAAATGAGAGGTTCAGTCCGAAGAGAGGCATAAATGGTAGATCGAAAGAACAAACAGGATGAAGAGGACGTCCTCCAGCTTGACGGGTGCCAACTGTCACGGTCATAGCTAAAGCAGTGGTTGCGGTTACGCAAGACACAGCAAGGGCGACGAGAGAAGAGAAGTGCATCTTCAGCTAGCAGTAAGAGAGATCGAGGTTGGGAGTGATTAGTTCTGGCTCTCCATTCCACCTTTTTATAGGCGACATCCTGGGGCTTTGAGATTATGTGCGACGGTCTCAAGTCCCCGACGCAGCGAGGATTGTAGAAACGTCGCGGGTTTGGCGGGGGTGGGTATGGGCACGAAACTTCCCATCATGCCGTTTCTGAATTACTGCACCCCTTCGAGATGATCGACAGCCTGCAGGCAGCCCTGGAGTAAAAAAGTACCTCTTGGATACGGTTCGTTAATAACATCCAATCTCGAAGCGATTGGCCTGATTATACGTCGTTGGAAAGGTCATGAAATAGGAGGGACTCACATTAAACATTTGATTCACGGGAGAAGCTAGTATTGTACGTGTTCTTCTCAAAAACATATACAAAATGACATAGCAACCGGGGGAAAATGGGTCTGCTCGACATTAGAGGATGTCAGAGCAGTCTATTCTCACACTCTCCTGACATGCCCGAGGAAGCATCGCAGTAATCTTCATCGACCGTCACGAAACGCTATGGTTTCCAACGCCGGAGATGCTAGTCGTGACTGTGAAGGTGTCCGTTCTGGAAAAGCTTCACGAATCTAGGTGTGTGGTACCTCCGCTTGCCGGCGTTCTCAGGCCTGCTATGAAAACCTATTGTTTCTGGTTACCGTTCACTTCCGGGTTCCGAGGTGTGCATGCTGCCGAGATGAATGGAAGCACCCAGACACCCATCAAGTGGTGGTCGCTTCTGTACAAGTATCGGCAGTCTAAGGTCGGATGAGTGGATGAGCGGCACACTGGGCCTTCGGATCTGGAGAGTGGGTTTGGTAATGGACAAGCGAAGAAAGTTTGCTCTTGAAAACTACAATCTCAAACAACCATCCAACAATAAAATGGTTCTCGGGAAGAAATGACAGTTGACAACACGGCGTGTTGGAGAAAGTAGTAATGACTGTATCGACTAACGGTGCAAACGCTCAAGCTTCAAGTAAGGTCGATCGCCGCTGTGTAATGTCTACAAGTTAGAAATCTCATGAATTCAGCGATGTTGCTGTCAGAATCAAAGCGACGGTCGTGGGTATGAACTGAGTACACGCGCCTGTCATGAACAGGGAGCGTAAGTTACGCGCGAAAGCTGGGTTCGACTCCCAGCCAGGGAGGTATCGGTGGCAGTCATTTTTGTTTCTATCCGTGCAGCCGTACTTGTCGCAGGCGTTACTTTGCTGATGGTTCTGATTACATCCTCCAGAAAGACAACTTCTGCGACAAATCTAAATCAGCAACAGCTTTTGACCTCCAGAAGATGTCTTGCGTTCGGAAGCCGAAGCCACTACTAGGCACCCATTGAAACCAAATTGTTACAAGGCGCCCCCTCCGAAACGTCGAGCAAGCTGCAACTTCAGGTAAAAAAAGAGGGCCGAATACCTGTATTTGGAGCTCCTTTCCAGTTTATTTCTATCGAAAATTGGTGGATTGTGTCCCTGGCCATCACTACAACATGAGCCGCGAACGCTTCGAACAATGTCCGATGTGGTGTAGTGGCTAACATTGCTGTCTTTCATAAGTTCTGCTCTGTTCAGGAATAATACACAGCAGCCCGCGGTTCGATTCCCCGCATCGGAATTTACCCAATATTGTGGCTCTGTTTTTTTTTATTCGTACAATGTCCCGCATATATAAAATTTCGCGGGAGTTTATGTTCGGCCGTCTTCCTCTAGTTCACACCGACTCGCTTTACTAATTGCAGTACTATCGGTTTCCCATGAATTTCATTGACAGTCACGTCCATACGAACGAACAAGAAAGAGTTCTTGTTACGTATGAGATACTTGATGGATAAGTAGCGTTTCGCGTGCAGCCTGCATTTCACTCGGTTCCCTCACAAACCCTCGCGCCCAACCGTCTTCGGACTTGGAATGACAAAATCTCCACGGTGCCGAGAAGCCTGACGAGGAGAAGTTGAGTGCCGCGATTTTGCACCGGTATAGGGAGCAAAGGCACTCACGCTGTTTTGTTACCCTCGCCATTTCCTACACAGGTTTGGTCGAGACAAAAACCCAACTAGCATGCATCGTAGGACAGTGTCACGCCGGTGCCAATGTTGGATCACAGGGGCCAGTTTCGCAGCACTACTGGATGGTTAGCTTAACGTAACTTCGGGCCGCGGCCCTTAGGAAACCTTAACTTAACTTAACTTAAACTTAACTCGCTTTTAGGAGCTTTTAGAACTCAAATTTTAACCCTAAGCCTAACCCCTAAACTGGGGGGTGCCCCCCCAGACCCCCACTATTCTGATCCTCTTATCCCATACCCTAATCCCTAAGCCAAAGCCTAACCACTAAGCCTAACCACTAAACCTAACCCCTAAGCCTAACCCCTAAACTGGGGGGCACGCCCCCCAGACCCCCCCTTATCATGCATGATCGTATCAAATACAAAAATAATTATTTAATTCGCAAAATTCACAGTCATACCACTCACATGGGCTCACACGGAGTTAAGTTAAGGTAAGTTAAGGTTTCCTAAGGACGGCGGCCCATAGTTAAGGTAAGCTGGCGTCGATTACCCGCAGCAGGCCACCTGCTCGGGGTGTGTTCGGTGGAGAATCAATGGTGAAGCTTCGTCTGAAGGCCCGAGTGGAAGTCCGCTTTTGAGAGCCCCAAGATCAGAGGATTCATCTTAAGCCCGAGAGGAAGGATAACCTGCCGAGCAACGGTTAACGGGACGCAGACCTTCTAGCTGGCAGTGGGTGATGTGCCGAGGGTGTCGTCGATCTTAGTATGATGCTCAGGGTGGATCTGTGAGGTCAAGCAATAGTCAGATGTGCTGTGAAAGCGCGATGTAGAGATAGAATGTACGTTCCCAGCGACCTGACTGTCTCGCTAAGCCAGGACAGGCCATGGCGGTCCACTTGATTTTCTGATCAATGGTGTTGGGTTTGTCTACACTCAGGCATTTGATGGACTCTCAATTGGGACCACGCCCCAGTGATACAACTTTCACCGTGGCAACGAACTTCTCTCGGTGGATCATCACGAGCCGATCCCAACAGAAGTTGAGCCACCACCGACCCAAAAGAACAAAAAACATCTGATCATCCCGATGTACATCCACTACTCGTGGGGCTCGTGTGAGAAAAACAGGTCGGCATTCGTGTCATGGTTACCCGCAATATTGAACAAGGACAGAACGATCGCAGCGTCTTCCTGTGTAGTTCCCTACCAGCTCTCCCGGGGTGAAAGAAAGGACTCAGGGGGAAAGGAAGTAGCATCACGTTGCCACAAAGACCGCGCCACTTGGTTGCAGCAAAAATACCACGGTCATGAAAGTGTCTGCTGCTTCAGGCAGTCGCCCTAGAGCTACACCTGAATCGTCAATCGAAAATCAGAAGAAGTGGATAGGGGCATACTGCGGGCCGCCCAACAGGAATCAAATAGTGGTAGCTTCGGGATGACGGGAGTCTCGGCGACCTAAGTCAATATGGCAGGAAGCTATGACTCTATCCCTCGTTCTGTAAGGCTCGACTTTGAGATGTAGCAACGGTACCTAGGTTGATATTCTGCCATTTTCGAAAGCTGAGCCGCGTAATCTCGCGCTGGGCGAACCTCTTCGTACCTGACGAGAGCATGTAGAATGACGGATTGAGGTCGTTGTGAGCCGTTTTCCTGAGAGTTCACGAGCGCTCGGGGACAGCGCAGGCGTAGACGAGGACACATGCCCAGAGTCGGGTGGATGTTTTAATTGTTGTAAGCTTGATTGTGTTTAATCAGTGTCCACAACATACCCGGGCAGTGAAAGTTCTTATCCTGTTAAGCGAGTCCGGTATCATTTACTCCGTTCTACGGGTAAGTCTTCAAATTCTTTCATGTCATCCAGCAACTTGACGAATCTTTTGCGCAATACTCTCATGTCTTGACTAGATAAACCAAATTGCTTTGGTATTACCAACAACGCCGTCAACCACCACATTTTCAGGACAGGCTTTTTTGGCAATTATCTACGCCTTGATTCCTCAGCTGGTTGTCAGTCTAATTTTCTTGTCCCGGCGACTACTTATTTCCTCGGCAGGGGATATACCTAACATTGCTGGTGGTACTCGTGTATCTCAAATACTCGATGTGGGACTCGAGTGGGGTATCATCAGTCAGTCTCGGGCCACCGACGCGCGACAATCAGCATGTTCCGTGTATTCCGGCACTAGTAGAAACAAGGTCTGCTGGTGGTTCAGGTACATTCGATTCAAGGACGACTTAGTCGTTCTTTGCTCTGGGGGCCATCACCAAAAAGAAGAGAATTGATTGTATCATTCTAACCCTAACCGGGGAAAGGAAGCACGAAAGCTTACATGTATAATGTGACCGCGTCCGTGGCGTTTAGAACCTTTGCGGACCTTTGTATCCTGAAGACGATTGTCTTGACGAGCGCACCTCAAGAAGATCTTGTTATGTGCCTCGGTTTGGACCAGCTTTAGATTGATGCAATTGAGGCTGCTGATGGAGAGAGTGAAATGATGCGTGCGAAAAAAAAGGTGACCTCGACAGCCGGCGCTTTTCGGATGAACGTTCACTTCCTCAGCGTTCTCCGCTTAGCGAGTTTCTACACACTCTCCAGTCGCTACTCCCTCCATGTTTGATTCGTTTGCTCGGAAACACAGCCATTCTCGTTATCGATTTCCGTTCCTCGAGTGCACTCGACAAAGAAAAACAACCCCATTCCAAGCACCCTGGACGTCGATTTCATTGCCTTCCACCAGTCTTTTGGCCAAATTATCCACTTCCTACAACACATTTAAGGTCAAAGAGTCAGTTCATATCAGCAGAATATAAGAAGAAAGAAGGTGGATTGCGCCAAAAACTGTTCAGATAGAATTCCCCAGGTATGAAAAAGGTACGTGCCACATCTGACACGGCACTTGGTAGGTTGACATTGACCACCAGAGAATAGCACATCCGTCTCTTTTCCTGGAAGGCAGGTCGGACAATACAAGAGTGGAGCTCACGTCGGTGTTTGATGGAGTTGCGGAGGAATCGTTGACGAGAGGGGGAGATTTCGAAGTTTAGGTAAGGGGCTTGACATCTAAGTGGGTGGGGAGGTTTTCGAGGCATATGGGAAGGATTTGTCGGCAACGCCAATACCATCATCAGCACGAGATCCAGAATCACAGCCAGACCCCAACCAGAAGAGCCAAGACTGGCAACGCCGAGACGAAAACATCCGCTAGGTCCGACGTGTACGCATGCCTTCCATCTTCACCTCATTGCGACGCATATATGCAGATAATATGCAAGAAACACCCTCATACCGTCGCTTTACTCGGTCAAGAAATGCTGACATATCATTCGTTAGACCTGGGTCATGAAGGGACAAACTCGTCAAAGGGGAAAGCATGTTCCTCTCAGACACTGCACCCAAACCCACTTATGCAGCCACTACGACCACGACCACAAACGTAGAAGACAATAGTGTCAAACTCGGGCGAATGGATCATGGGATGAGGAAGGCCACTGATTGGGAAGAGCCCTATGCTCACCATCTCGGCTACTTGACACCATTGGATCCCACTGCTTTCAACTGGTTAATACCGTTCTCGATGAGGCAAACGCAACTCGCTATCTTTCCTCCTCATTGCCTCATTGCCTCCAGTCTCGATGCTAGTCAATTCAGTCAGTATCCATTCACCGAGCTCACCCGACGTACCAGGCAAGGTCATTCAGACAGTCGTGTACATTCCCTTCTGTTCATGCTCACTGGGACTTTCGGAGCAGCAATGATGGTAATGTAGTAGCCACTCCATCTTTTGTTCCATTACCACCACTGCCACCTCCTTATATCTCATACAAGGGGGTGTCAAAAAGTTATTGAGTGTACGAGGTTGAATTTTTTTTTAAGCTCAGGTCGGGTACCCCCCCTTCCTGCTATATATGGTAAGTGCACGTGCCTCACGTATTGGATGATTATTAATTTCACTTAGTGCCTCATTTCTCAGAAACATCAAGAGTCAGTGGTCAATTTCCGGCTACAGCACACACGAGATACCCATTCAATGTGTGTTCAACAACATAGTTTAATCTTTCGAAAACCCTCTGAGAGGCCTCCAGAACCCCTCAGAACCTGAAATTTTGGTAGGTACAAAAAAATTTTAAGGGCCTTCGGCCCCCTCCCCCCCCCTACCTCAGACTGGAAATTCCATTCTTGCCACCTCCTTGATCTCATACTCGTAGACACACCTGGCTCATCGAATGATCGTCACAATTGTCCATCTGTGCCTTCCTTTACCATGCAGATTCACTTCAGCAACTGTTTATCCTTTATACAATGCTATCTGTCACCGTGAACCCTTTGGGAACCAACTAACCAGACAATTGGCAATCAGCAGTGCACCAAACCTCACTTGTCATTCAGAACAGATTGACTAGATGGTGCTTTGATTCCCCATCCTCCTGCTGTGGATCTGTATCTGATGCATGCACCATCAGATCAAGATACCTATAAGTAGTGTGAGAAGGCTTTATGAAAAGTGTGAGCAAACTGACACACCAAGTGGCCAGGAAAGACAATGAATTATGTCCAGAGGTACAGTAATAGTATTATCCATTGTAAGCTCATTGGGTTAGCAGTCCCAA